AGGTGTTTCCGTAAATCTCTGAATTGTAAATGGGCCGTGCTACCCTTTTTCCGTAGGTCCAGTGAATCATTCCTTGTCCCTGTTTCTATCGCTGTCTTGATGATCAAAGTTCAACTTAATTCAGTGTTTTGGGCGTTTCGCTTCTGCTGACATTAAACACTCTCGTAATACTTAACGAACTTGCCTTAAATTAGTAGGAGAACCGTCACATCCTACCCAGGCGTCATCTGACGTGTCCGGTGAATTTATATTTAAAAAAATATATTTAGTATTGCCTCTTGTGTCATTAAACTTAAGGTATTTTGCCTACTTTCTGATCATTGTGTTATGAGTAGGCGCTTCTTAAAAAGAATGTTTTATTATATTGAAATGTTTTAAATACTATGACAGTTGAATTTATCTTCAAACATCAATTTAGAGGGAATGATTATTTTCGTGAATAAAATATATCTGGTGCTCCACATTATCCGGTCCCGATCCCATCTGGTTCCATACTTATTTCTGTTAAACACAATAAACCTCCACATTTATATATTCGTGGTGTGGTTTTTCACAGCTTCTGCAGGCTGTCATTTTTTCTTATTGATTTTCCGTGGACGATGGTCCCAATGAACTAAGACCAGATTTCATGCAGTGGTGCTGGCAGTTCAACTTTCGTCATCAAAATGATTTTCCGGTTTTGTCGCCACGATAAACAGTAGTGCACAACTATGTACAACATCTGTTCTGAGACAATCACGCGCGAATGAATGCGGAAGCCATCTTTCGTTGAAACAGTGTACACAACAGACAGCGGAGTTGTACTCTGGTTTTGATTTGAACTACACAAAGTTGACATTTGGCGAGCTCACCATCACCGTTTGTGATATGTGAATTCACATTAGTTTAATTGAGACCAAATACTTTTGTTACTGTTCATGCAAATACTATGATACTCTTGCACCATCCGTTCATGGGACCCCGCTAAGCTGAAATCGTGTTGACCGTGGGCCGGAGACCACAGTTACGTTCAATGAGCTTTGATGGTATCACGGTTCAGGTGTTTCCCGTAAATTTTATTTGTGACTTTGTGAATGAAGAATGACAGTGGTGACCTGAGATTCTATTTGAGTGAACCCATTTAATCAGTGCTTCATTCGATACACCATGCTCCAGGCGATAGGCTGAACACAATGATTTATTCTTCCCGAATTTCTCTCCCAGACAGTTCAGTCTTTTCATTTTATTTTTATCGCATCCGTTACGGAATGCTAACAACCTTTCTCGTAAGCCGAATCAAAGGGTAAGCAAAGAAATGAAGGCAACTAGGATGAGAAACGAACACAAAGTAATCGAGGCGGCAGTTATTCAAGATTTTGAGGACAGGCAAGAGTAAAAATAACTTACTTCCAGAATACACGATATCCGGTGAACAGATGTTTGTATTATCGTACAGACATGTCCGAATCCTGTATTGAATATCTTCACTTGGCAGGTAAACCAGATCATCTTCCGGTTTGGAATCGTTTGATCCGTCTGGGATCACCAGCAAGTGAGCGAGCAAGCGAGATAGACAGAGAGAGGGATCAACAGATACGTAGAGCATTCGAGGATGGAGCATGCCCATACATACCGACAAACAAGTTGTTACGATAATTACAGTCATCTGTGCTTTGTCGCTCATTTTTATTATTATGCAATAATGTACAAGCTACTCGCATTTGGTTAATTGCAATAGGTTGGATCACAGAGAGAATGAGAACGATCTGGTTGTCTACAACTAGGGTATATTTTTTACAGTACACGATATATCCATAAAAGTCCCTCGAACAAGCTGTTTTGGATAAAACTATCGTTATGGTTATTACTTTAACACTAGTTAGTTAACAGCGTATTGTTTAAAATTGGCCCCACTTCAGACAAGACAAAGCAGGACAAGTTGAACTGCGGAATTTTTCTCAATGAATAAATACATGTTTTCAGATAACCGAGAATTCAATTGAGCTGTTCAATAAACCGCTGTGAGTAATTTAATGTTCGCCCAGCTCTAAACTGTACTACTCGTGTGATTTTCAAAATACAACCAAAATCATCCAATGCCCTTCGACAAACTCATATACAAAAATGTAATTGAGTTTAAGTCTTTATAATTTACCAACATTTCAACGGTTTAGCTGTTGGGAAATTTACAGAACCCATCAGTTGTAACTGGTCATAAACCTTCTCTTTTTTGTATCTGGTATCCCAAAATTTTAATAACAAGGCGGGAAAACGGAGTGCAGTCTTCCTCAATCGTCTTAAATCCATATTCATACAATGAAACGGGTACCCCGAACAATTAGAACATTGTTTTTTGTCCAAATGTGATACTGAAACCAGCACGTAGACAGCAACTAAATAGCTGAATTGCTATGCTCTACTATACGGCCACATCTAACATTCTGATCTAAGGGAATATAGATAAGCTTTCAGAATGTAGTTGAATCATCTCCCAGGCATGAACACTATTTTAGTCAATCCAATCAAGTGTCATTAACAAACAGAAAATGGTGAAAATATACCCTTTCCCCAAGTGCATTTTAGCTAAACAAGATATCATTTTTTACTGGATTCTTTGGTCTTCCAAACGCCTTAAGATAATTCAATAAACTACCGAATTAACCGCTATTTATGCTCTCCCTACAGAAAAACGAATTTTCATCGTGTTTAGTCTCTTTGAATCATAATTGCGACTGGGTCCCTGTGAATATAATGCAAATAATTATCAGACTGCATTTGGGCTACACCGTTATCATTTAAATTAAAGCGAGCAATGAACGTTACAACTAATTTAGGGTGGACGCNTGGACGCCGCCTCAGTTAAAACGATGAACACTACTACAACTATTATTCCTCGTAGCAATCTTATTTTTCATTTTACCTCTCCACATTATCAACCTATTTCATTTTTTAACTGCTAAAAGTTGTCGCGTCGGCTGCCGGTTGAACTCATTCACTTTCACAGATTTGAGTTTATCGGTTGCATTTCAGCCTGCAAGTCTCACTGTTCAAGCACAGTTTGATCCGTCGGAAAAGGGATTCTTATAAAGATCTGTTTGACGCAGCCGGTTTCACGTTCCGTGCCAAAATAACACAGTCAGGGTTACCTCGGAACAGGAAATAGTTAAAAACGTTTGTAGCATCGGTGAACTGTTTAGTCTATATGTAAATAGGCGTGTTCCGTTCTCCTGTTTTTGCCAAGATAGAGTGGATTTTCATGATTTTGGCCTTATCGCACTTCCGCATGACATAGGTGGGTGCGTTTTTCCCGAGGTTTGCAATCACTCACTTAGAATGCAAAGTATATTTACGACCTATTATCCTTCTTTCGAACCAATAAGTTCTTTACTAATTTCGTTGTGGTTATAATCCCATTCCTGTGGCCGCAATATTCATACAAATAAGGAACCAGTAATAAATAAAGATGATGATCATATCTCGATTGAGTTTCTGGAGACACCCTAGAAGGATTGTATATCACATGGAGTTAATTTGTTTACAGAATTTTATAAATTCTGTGGTTTGGTGCATTTCTGATACACTGCAATAAAATGTAAAACGATTCAACCAAACTAATACCTTCAAGGGTAGCTTGACAAGCATTAGCAAATTTGAACAACGTTCACGTCGCCACCGCTTGATAGCTAACAGTAGTTTACATCATCAATCTAATGGCAGATCTATTCGACTCTTTTACTAGGTGTTTTTTTAAAAAGGATACTCATTTTTGCCCCGTTACTCAGAATGAAATATTAAGTGATTAAGATATTCAATAAACTTTGATTGAACACAGTAGGGTAAAAATAAATCATACCAATCGAAGCACATGATAATGTGATTGTTCTTTTGAAAACATTTAAAAAACAGCAAATTCATAAATAGTCGAGATGATTCATGGTCTCTTTTTCCATTCTTTGAGTTTGACCGTTGTAGTCTGAATACTCATACGTGTGGCAGGCCTCGTTTAGCCACTCATTTGTCCATCTGATGCGTGAAACAGATAATTCATTGCTGTGACCGATTTCGCATCAGAATAAATCAATATTTACCATTGATTTGCTGACTGCTTTTTATATTCTACGATTTGTGGAAACAGTTTATCATGGTTGAAACTGGCCAAATGTAACGCGAAGTAAGTTGTATTGCATTGTGTCCAAATGGCTTGAAATTTTGTTGTTATCACAAGCCTGAACCTATGCTTGTGTTTCGTTGAAATTTGTACACTGAATATGTGAGAATTTATTTAATTATTGCGGACCAGTTTGGAGCACATGTCAGCAAAACACGAATTCGGAATAATCTACTTATGGTTGCATGTCTGAAGTGCATGCCAGTCCAAGTATACTTAAGAACAGACTGTTTTGATGGTGGACATTTCTCATTATTTCTTATGGGTAGAAAAAAACTGAAGTGACCATTTCACTTGGTATTAATGTGCGTGACATGACGTAGACTGCATGCCATTGACAACCCATTATTTAGAGTTCTTGTCATTTTTTAGGTTAACATGAACAACAGGATTTGACAAATAAGCTATACTAATCTATTTCATTCCAATTGTGCGTTTTGGGGAGGTTATTGTATCCATGCTCAGTTTGCGTCCTTTCAATTCACGTGCGTTATGCATTTTAAAAACAGGTACATATCCGTTGATCATTTTAATCAAGCAGTCTTTTCAATTCCAGATTTAATCTTGTGGATTATGGTTGATTCCATAGTAAACCTGCCAGAGTAGACGAATTTCGTGCTACTTAGTGGATCTCATATGTCTGTGAGAGTTGAGTTGGAATTCAAATGCGATATAATTAAAGCTTTGGATGTGGCCTCGTAGTTTAACTGATAGTGTGCATATTGAACGAAAATCTGGGTGAAGTTTATGCGCGAGTTTGTATCACCCATTGAGGCTCCTGATCTCCTTTTTTTATTCAGATATTGATTCTACATATTATGTGGTACGTCTTCTCAGAAAAAATATTAGCGGCAAGAAATGTTGGTAGTATATTGCTGAAACTCTGAATCTTTTACAATGGGGAAATAAATTAGTGCAACGTCGAAGTGATTATTGTGATGGAAACTGCGACCCAAGAATGGTTAGATCCAATTACGTTGCAGTCAGCTAGTCCTTTTATTTTAATGTCCCTAGACAGCCTTAGATTATTAGAAACCTCTTTCATCCAAAAACGGGAATGTACAACTGTTTATTCGATTGGTGAACAAAGAAAGAGAAAGTATAGTTTATATACGTTTAATTGAATGTATGTGTGGGAGTGGTTAAGTAGGACGAATAGACAACTGAAGCCAGATGAATATTCTCATTATTATTATTACATATAATATTAGTATGAAATAACTAATTAGTCTGGCCTGGTAGTGTTCGCTAACTCCTCCACTAAGACAGGCAAACTAAGAGAAAATAAACGAAATCCTCCTCGCTCAGATAAATGCGAAATGTCGTACTAAGAAATAGCCCTCAAACTATACATTCTAGGTTTGTATGATCCGTGCAGAGCTAATATCGTATTTTGTTTTAAGTTATCACCGTTTTCTTTCTGACTGAAAACAGATTCCAGACAGCTTTTCACTGAGAAAAGATTGTACAGTAACCTTTGCTTCTCCCTAATTATGCCCTTCGTTTGGGCATTGGACTCCTGATTTGTGTACCATTAGACTGAGTGTTTCGCCCAAGTTTGGGAATAAAACCTATCGGATGGGTGGACTGGTACACCTTTGCAGTCCCATGAGGAAACATCTGGAATAGGAGTTTAACTGTTTGCCTCTCGTTTCAAAAGTTTGTTGGGAGTTTTCAATTTAGCCCAGTTAGGGGCCGCAAATATTTGAATGAAGTTTACGATGTTATCATTCAAACAAAATATATTGGATTCTAATCCCAGAAGGAGGAAGCTTCCAGTCCTGATCGTTGACTCGAAGACTCAAGTGTGTGTCAGATGCGCAATCATATGGTTTTATAAGGACTCGGGGTAAAATGCTTCACTTGCATTTTAGAAATGTGGAGCTGCAACTCTGTGATAGATCCACCTAGAATTGGATTATTGTCCTTGAAAACAACCACCGAGGCAATTGATTGGATTTTTGGAAGAAACGTTTAAATAGGGTTAAACAACGAATAATAAATATTTAGGCTGTGACATTTTTGTAAACAACGGTGTTGCCCGCTGTTTTTGTCTTTACCTCAGAGCGTTTTGACCCCATCAGTGGCGTCGCGTTGGCTGTGTTCTAGAATCTGTGGAAGGATGAAGTTACCGTTTTCGTAGCACATAAACAAGATCTTGAATTTCCTTCACGGGTTTAGATAAAGTGAACGAAAACCGTTCATCAGGACGGGAAAATTCCGCTAGTTTAACGTGCAAACATTTCATGGTTTGACATCCATCAAAGTTCAAATTGTTGTTTGGCAGATTTGGCGATTATAGGTCGATTGTAAACATTTCAGTAAATTCAAATATGAAAAGATCAGCTACGTCGAGACCTTGTAGCTC